GAGTAAATCTTTTGAAAAGTGTTCTGATTGTGATTACCAAGTCGCAATCAGTTTGTACGTGTCGCTAAAACAGCACATACATCCTATACACTGCTGTGCGTCTAAAATCATTAAAATGGTGATTCTGTTGAATCCAACGTGCATGTCATAATCAAGTATGGAACACAGTCGACTGAGAGTGTTAGTGGTATACAGTGTGCGAAATAGCCACTGGCCCGCTAGCCAATGGCTAGTAAATCTCCAGTCGAGCCAGTAAATCTCCACAGTCACTGGCCCGACTGGCTAGTGAATTTTCATGGGGTCATTTTGTAAATATATCTCTCTCTCCGACTTGTTAAGTTATAATACACTTTCAAATCATGCAAGATTATGGCCTGCAGGAGTGGAAATAATCCTTTGCCCGACGCCCAAGTCCAGTGTTTTTTTTCTGTCGGGCAAGCAAATTTGTATATCACACTGTACCGGTGTCCAGTTGACTTTCCAATGTTAATTATGCTGTTGATTTAAAGAATCAACAAGAAAATCGGCCAGTATAGTGGACAAATTATTAGGGCAAGTGATTTTACATGTGCCACTGTACCGGAGTTCACGAACAATTTTAAAGTTAATTCCACCCCTGGCCTGAAAAAATGTTCATCATAGTAACAACTTAATGATGAATAATGATGATATTGCCGACAATATCTCGTCTATTTTTGTAATCTTTTGTTTAGCTTCTACATTCAAATTTCGGGTTAGTGAATTATTTTGTGGGCTAGTAACTTTCAGGCATATCTAGCCTGACTCGCTAGCAAAATTTGGAAACTATTTCGCACACTGGTGGTATACCCATTAAAAAGCAAAAAGCGGATCAAGAAGGCGCCTTTGGAATGTCGCATAATGGGGCTTCGAATAGCCATAATGCCAGAACATTCAGATGTATAAGAAGGCAGACCAACATCGACTAATGAGACGCGTCAATCGGACTGGCTAGACATCTGACAGTTCCAGAGGTAGAAGACCGAGAGTGACCACCCAGCAACATGACCATCACCTGCGCATTTTCCAACCTATGGGGCGGTCGGGTAGCCTTGTGGTTAAAGCGTTAAGCCCATTTCTGGTGTCCCCCGCCGTGATATATTTCCGGAATATTGCTAAAAGCGGCGTAAAACTACATTCAGTCACTCACTCATCCAATCTGCGTAATCAGTGACGTCATCAGCAGCAACACCGCATCAGCAGGATCACAGTGATGAGACGACTGCATGATGTGGGCATCCGGGATGTGATGAACACGTCAACGTCGACCGAATCGTTGGGGGAGGAACGTGAGGCGCTGACAACGTTGCATTTATTTATGATATCTGTGGTGTTTCAGCAACACATACACAGCATTGTACTTGTAAGTGACAATCAAGGCAGTTTTCAAAATATTCATGACCGTCTTCTTTGGCAAGTATGGGAACATTATGTTGCCTTAACAACGGTGGAAAATTAATATGGGACAAGGCACAGTAGATCTGATGTTTTGAACAACAGGTGAAAATGTGAACACAGGTGAGAATGTAATATGGAACAACGTTGATGTGGTGTAAACCAACACAGGTGGGTATATGATGTGGGGCAAGGAAGGTGCTGATCCCCTGTATGAAGCAACACAGGTAGGAATTCAATGTATGGCAACTCACCTGCAGATGTTTGAAGCATCACGGGTGGGAATCCAATGTATTGCAACTCACCTGCAGATGTTTGAAGTAACACAGGTGGGAATCCAAAGTATGGCAACTCACCTGAAGAGGTTTGAAGCATCACGGGTGGGAATCCAATGTATTGCAACTCACCTGCAGATGTTTGAAGTAACAGGTGGGAATCAATATATGGCAACTCACCTGCAGATGTTTGAAGCAACACAGGTGGGAATCAATGTATGGCAACTCACCTGCAGATGTTTGAAGCAAAACAGGTGGGATCCAAAGTCCAACTCAGTGTTTGATGGCAACTCACCTGCAGATGTTTGAAGCAACACAGGTGGGAATCCAATGTATGGCAACTCACCTACAGATGTTTGAAGCAACACAGGTGGGAATCCAAAGTATGGCAACTCACCTGTGTTTGAAGCAACACAGGTGGCAACTCACCTGCAGATGTTTGAAGCAACACAGGTGGGAATCCAATGTATGGCAACTCACCTGTATATGTTTGAAGCAACACAGGTGGGAATCCAAAGTATGGCAACTCACCTGCAGATGTTTGAAGCAACACAGGTGGGAATCCAATGTATGGCAACTCACCTGCAGATGTTTGAAGCAACACAGGTGGGAATCCAAAGTATGGCAACTCACCTGCAGATGTTTGAAGCAACACAGGTGGGAATCCAAAGTATGGCAACTCACCTGCAGATGTTTGAAGCAACACAGGTGGGAATCCAATGTATGGCAACTCACCTGTATATGTTTGAAGCAACACAGGTGGGAATCCAAAGTGTATGGCAACTCACCTGCAGATGTTTGAAGCAACACAGGTGGGAATCCAATGTATGGCAACTCACCTGTATATGTTTGAAGCAACACAGGTGAGAATATGATGTGGGTCAACGGACGTGCTGATATGATAAACGGAGAAACAGAGGATAATGTGATATGGGGCAACGCAAATACTCAGGTGGTGTGTGAACATGCAGGTGAGAATGTGATATGGGGCAACGCACGTGCTCAGGTGGTGTGTGAACATGCAGGTGAGAATGTGATAAGGGGCAACGCAAATACTCAGGTGGTGTGTGAACATGCAGGTGAGAATGTGATATGGGACAACGCACGTGCTCAGGTGGTGTGTGAACATGCAGGTGAGAATGTGATATGGGGCAACACACGTACTGATAACGCTGTTGGAAATACAGGTGGGGGATGTGATTTGGAACAAAGGTGAAGATAGAAAGCGAGACACCTACCTTTTCCTCTCGCAATGAAGTCATTTAGTGTGGTGTGAGGCCTCTCAGAAAAAGACGTCAGCGTTCTTGACAATGGCTTCTTTCAGAGTGCTGTAGCCGTTGAGGACGATGAGTGGTTTGTTGAACAGGTACACACTGAAGATGTCCCCATATTTTTGCCTGAGTTTTTTAAACGTGACCCTGGGATCGGAACCCATAGAGAGGGCATTCCCAAAAAACGGGAGGAGAGGAGGGCCGGGAGGGAGCCCTGAGGGTCGCCGCGTTAACAGCCATAACAAAACTAGCACGGCCACACACAGCAACACGGTTGTAGGACTGAAGGCGAATATATCCACCATTGTTTGCTACTGTCCACTTCTCGACCCACGATGTGTTTATAAGTGAACACTATAATACACTGCCTGATGCAACTACATGCAGTAATTCAGTCGCTAGATTGAATCAGCCCAAGAGCGTGACTTGGAGTGAACGCTTCACTGCAGTTTTGCTAAGGGCAGTATGTGGGTCACCTCCGATTGAGTTGACAAGCAATTATCAAAGGCAGGTGTCCCATATATTGCGCTATCCAAGCCTATTTTTCCCTTTCGTATTGGTCAAGGTACATGTTTTTAGATAAACCTGCAAACTGCTTTAGGGGCTAAGCAGGCTCACTCGTTACAAGTCAGCTTTGAAAATGAGGTCATTCATTTCCGCTATGGTCGAATTTAATCGTTTTCAGAATCGTCTTTCTGGGATCTCTGGGTGAACGAATACACCTTGTTAGTGTGTTTAGACAATTGTTGATGTAATGTGATATTGTGTCAACCCGATCGAAGTTTTCCTGTTCAGTTTACGTCTACTAATATATGTTTGTGTGCTGCTATAGCCATCCAAACCCACCCCAATGAAAACGTCGTTTGAGAGTTGTTCCAGCATTCCGGCCCTTTGACGAATTTCCGTGTGGTACGTACGTCAAACTGAACGTGTCACTGTGGGTGTTAAGAGTTTACGGTGTATATGCATTATGCAACTGCATGCTGAGTGACACAGCAGATGGAACTTGATAAAGTACTATAAAGCACCTTGGGCATCCATCTGAAATTGCTTCGGCAATGGGAGCCGGGCTAATTTACGCTTGTCAGAGTGGTAAACAAAGTAAGTAATCTGGACTAGCAGTTGTCAGGCTGCCGATTTTGCGCTGGCTGAGTGGGTTATATCGCTGATTAAGTGCCTTACTATGAGGTCGTGAGTTCGAATCTCGGATGGATCTAACGCCCGAAATGTACTAGACTTTGTACTTTACTGAGAAAATGTAATCCCAAACATGATATATGTTGCATCCCTCTTCTGCAAAAAGTGATTCAGCATTTTAATGCGTCCTTTACATTCTCAAAAGCAGGTGCCCAAACTATTACCGAACATTGGTTGTTTGTCGGTGTTACAGTTGGTGTAATTTATCATTTACGTTTGCTTGTAGATAGAACTTTCAACATTCTAGTGAGTTTGTGAATCGTATAAAACAGACTTGCTCTATACTCACTGTTAACGACTGGATCCTAGTGATTTTGCAGTAAACGATCCACTTACTTCATACAAATCATGAGCCTCATGAACTGTCTAAGGAAAACATGTTTCCAACAGCTCAGCATTTTTATTGAATCACAAAAGACACAGTAAAATCCAAATGATATACATAAGAAACATGGTGTCGTCGTCAGCACAATCACTGTATCCCCATTCACCATTGCAGAGATGTGAGCACAAACAATAATGGATTTCGAGATCATGCAAGAGTAATTAGCAGCGGCCATAAATATTGTTTTCACATTGTTAACTGCTGAGGCAGCTATGCCCAATATCAGATTCGAACTTGTGGAAAGAGAAGTATCATCAGTGGTGGAAACAAGTCTGTCAACTTCCAGTTTCATTGGTCTTCTGGTTTCTTTACGACGATTTATACGACGGACGGCGGAAACAGAGGCCTGAGCGTGAAGTCCTTGGGCTTTCAGTGACATGGCTTGACAAAAACTTTCTATCTCTCTGGATTACCGTATGTGTTGAGATCATGCATTGTTAAAACAGACAATACCTAGCTGGATAGTTGCTCAATTCTGCCTTAACACTACCCACTCACTCGCATAGAGTGATTAAACTCTGGGAATGGCTTTCATGACGAATGGTCTTGGAGAATTGGTTATGCCCATCGTTCCATCCAAAGAAGGCATCTGGCCATCCACCGGAATGAACTTGAACCTCTGGATCATGGTGGTCAAGAAAAGGAATAACTCCATCCGAGCCATGGCCTCACCCAGACAAACCCTTCGACCTGAAATATTTCAAATCTTCGGTTGTAAATAGCCTACATGCATTGTGTCAGGAAATACAAGCCTTATGCGTATCAATATGTTTAGTAGTAATTGAGTGAGTTTAGTTTTATGCCGCACTCAGCAATATTCCAGCTATATCGCGGCGGTCTGTAAATAATCGAGTCTGGACCAGACAATCCAGTGAGCAACAGCATGAACATCGATCTACGCAATTGGGATACGATGACATGTGTCCACTAAGTCAGCGAGCTTGACCACCCGATCTCGTTAGTTGCCTTTTACGACAAGCATGGGTTACTGAGGATCAATTCTAACCCGGACCTTCACCGGACCCGAGTCCAATATCTTTAGTAAATATAATCTTGGTGTTGTTCCTTTTTACTCGAAAGTGCATGTTTATTTGTAAAGACAGCTAAAATAATGTACAATTCATTAAAACAAGAATGATATTTGGTGTTATGTGTATGTATTAGGCCAACATAGATTAGAGTTCTAAATAGACATATTTCGATTAACACATTTTCAGACTAACGAATAACTGATATGTCATATGTTTGGAAGTTTCCTTACTCGACAGGTTGAACAACTAAATTTAAAATACAACCATTTGTAATCGTTTGTAAAAACACTTCAATGTTGAATTCGTTTATAAAGATTGACCATATATTGCTGGTTCTCCAGCGACTTAGCTTACCCAGAGAGAAGGGAATGAACTCATCTTTCTTTACGATCTTGCCACTGTCGTCAAGGAAACGGTCAGGCCGAAAGTTGTCTGGATCACCCCACACATCCGGGTCTCGTAGGACGGAATCAAGCATTGGTATGACTTGTACGCCTTTTGGGAACGTGTATCCCCTGAACTGGACATCGTGGGGAACGGTATGTGGGAGAGCTGTAGGGGCGATATCAGCTCGCCTCAAGACTTCCATAATGGTTGCTTCCATGTAGGGCAGGTTGGTCTTGTCCTTTATGGAGGGCAATCTGCTCTGGCCGATATTTTCCTGGATCTCTCGGAAACACCTTTCCTGTATTTCCGGATTGTTGAGTAAGTAGATCATGGTCCATCGTATGGTAGTAGCAGTGGTTTCCGTTCCGGCCACGAAGAGGTCTGCTATAACCTTTTTCAGGTTCTTCGCTGAAACAAGGTCCGAGGGAAGCCTTTTGTTGAAATAAAATGATTCGAAAACACTGTGTAAATTAAACTGCAATGAAACTAAATGCATGTACATACGAAAGTAAGGTCACGGAGACGGTTTCTTCTCTCTTCTATCCGGACAGATATATACCCTCAGAGTTTGCTACTGTGTCAATTCCATCTTATTGAAAAAACCGAAGGCCGAATCAGTGAATGAGTGAGTACAAATTTAAAGTCACATCGGCAGTATTTCAGCCATATCGAAGGTCGAATCAAATAGGGTTTGTTGATCTATGTGAAGTGATGTTCTCCTTTCTTGTACATGGACACGGTGATTAACCCAGGCATCGCATCATTTTCACCTTTCTTCCACTATATGCAGACACGCAGTTCTCAAAGATATCATCTGTAACACACGAACTACATATATTCTGTTTTTCACCCAAAGGGCGAAACAAAAGGCAAAATGGAGTTAGAAAATCATACAACTATTTAACTTGGTTCAGTATGCTTACAGTCTAAGGTCGTGTCCTCTTGTTTCGCTTTGCGAAGTCTCATTTCCTTGATGTAAGCGTGGATGAAGTCGTCCACGTTGTCATCGTCGTGATTCTTCAAGTGTTCCTCTGTCATAGGGTCTATGAGCAGTGATTCGACTTTCTCGACATTCTGCATTGTCACCTTAAATTTGAATAGATCTCCTGGCAGAAAGCGCACAATAGGCAGCACATTCAACACTCCAACCGCTCCAACATTGGCAACATTTTCGTCCATGGCTTTTAAAAATGTAATAAAGAGCGGGTCAGTATATTCAAATCGTTTGCCGAATACAGTGGAGCAGATGACATTGGACACTGCGTTGCACACCAGGCGTTTGCAGTCAAACCCTTGTCCTTGTTCTGCCTCGAAGGCCTCGATAAACTGTGAGATTTCCTCGTGTATTTTATCCTCCATGATGTTCCTGCCTGCTCCAAACTCCCTGAGAGTGTTGAGGGCGAATCGTCTTTGTTCGCGCCAGAGCTCTCCAGATGTTCCAACAACACCTGTATACAAAGATGATAAAATTGACTTATTTGAACACATGTTGCAAAAGGAAAACATGACAATAACATAAAACCACAAAGGTTGGCCACTACAGAAGAGAGTCTGGTTTTCAAGAATATATGAATGTTAATATCGTAATCAACTGTAAATTCTAATTTCTCATTCTTTTACCAAGCTATTTGAATGTACGCTCTTACTTTTAAGTTGGTTGGTTTGTTGTTTTACGCCGCACTCAGCAATATTCCAGCTGGCGATGGTGTGTAAATAATCGAGTCTGGACCAGACAATTCAGTGATCAACATCATGAGCATCGATCTACGCAATTGGGATAACTTCTTCCTTTTGAGAAAGTATGGTAAAGTGGTGTCTTATGGCATGAATGCTGATGTATGTCTGATCAGGTGGTGTCTACTTACATTTGATATATATTAAGCAGCAAAAGAAACGTCAGTTTGGAATTTTCCTTCGCAGAAACGGATAACTGTAAACTCATTTAATGTTTTGATTGTATACTTTTGACAACATCTCCAAGTTTACCTGAGCAAAGACATTCCTTCCCAAACTCAGAATGGAACCCAGGAAATGGTCTAAAAAACGCAACCTGATCTCGGAGATGGTACGGTGTTCTCCATGTTTTTCATGCAATTCATGCTGCACGTGCTGTTCACAAGGACCAGCCTTATAAAATGCACCCCCAAACCTTGTTGAAACATTCACATTACAACGTCAGCAGGATGCCGCGACTCACGACAGCACAGAGGAACCAGGCGCTAGGAAGGCTTGAAGCTGGCCACACTGCACAAGCCGTTGCCAATCACTTCCAGGTCAACGTTCGGACCATCTACAGGCTGCAGCAACGTTTCCGGGCCACCAACACAACAAATGATCGCCCCCGTACTGACAGACCAAGGGTGACCACAAGACGATAAGACCGCCATGTTGTGCGACAGCATGTACAGAATCCCTTCATGCAGGCATCCGAAACAGCATGCCAGACAGTGGGAACACACGGAAGACCAATCGGTACTGATACAGTACGCCGACGTCTTAACAGCGGGAACCTTCATTGCCGTAGAACTTACCGTGAACCTATCCTCACCCCTCGTCATCGGCGTCAACGTCTACAGTTTGCCCTACAACACCAAAACTAGCGATACAGGCAATGGAGAACTGCTCTGTTCACAGATGAGAGTCGCTACTACGTATCAACTGCAGATGGCAGAAGAAGAATATGGCGACGACGTGGCCAGCGTTACTCAGACCAATGTGTTATGGAAAGAGACTCATGGGGAGGTGCAAGCATCATGATATGGGGTGGAATAGGCCTGAGTGGGTCCTGTGGTGTTCCAGAACCTTGGTCCAGGGAGAGGAGGCGGCATCACAGCGGTGCGCTACATTGACCAAGCTCTCAGACCCCACGTCATACCACATTTTGCACGTCACCGGAACAACATTTTCCGGCATGATAACACCCGGGCCCATACTGCCAGAGCTACACGGGACTTCCTACAGCAGAACGGTGTCAACATTATGCAGTGGCCAGCCCTTAGTCCTGATTTAAACCTAATTGAACAACTTTGGGATGAAATTCAGAGGAGACTGAATAATGTCATACCAAGGCCGAACACAGCCGATTTATTGTGCCAGGCCTTTCTCAGAGTGTGGTTCCAGGTGCTAATGGCCTCATCAGTCGATTGGTGCACTCCATGCAAAGACGCTGTGCTGCAGTTATTGCCGCTCATGATGGTCACACTGGATACTGAAGTCAAGAGTCTGAATGGACTGCAAACGTTCACGTAATGTCTTGAAATTCTACTGAGTTATTCATTGATGTGTCAAGATATTGTACGCAAAAAATGTTTTTGATCTGCTTATAATGTCAATTTCTGTAATGTTTTGATTACAGTGTCTATCTAATTTTGAATTCGTAATGACGTTTTTTTGTTGTTGCTGAGTATATATATATACTCCCTGAAGATTAAAGAACGAAACATGTTGGAGAAAAGGCATTCTGTTTTATTTGTCTATGTGATATATACATATATATACACATATCACACACACACACACACACACATATATATATATATATATATATATATATATATATATATATACACACACTTCCTTCTATTAGAGATCGGTACTTGGTACTCGCATCCCAAATACGGTACTCTCATCGCACCCGTTATGATTATTGCGCACAAGCATTTATATGAGTAACGTCTTTGTACTTATATTTACAAGTGCACCCTATTTTCGTTATCAAAATATGCAGAGGTACATATTTGCAAGCGATCAAACATCTCAGTTGATCTCTCGCAGGTCAGCGACGTCATTTTGAATCTTGAAAGTCACCTGTGACGAGGCAGGGATTCCCTCCCTAAAATAGTAACACACGTGAGAGCTATGTAACTCATGCATGCGAGAAAAACCTCCAATGCATGCATGGGTGCTACTAAAATGGAATGGATTTTCCGATTCTGCAGTTCGAAATTATGCACTGAACTAGTACAAGTGAGCTCTATTGCGGGTAAAATAGTTTTGAGATTATTTACGTTTTTGATCAGTAAAAACAAAGAATGTGCTAAAATTAGCGATTGATAGAAAACTCGATTTCCGCATTAAGCGGGACAATTATTTCGGATTACCCACATGGTCACGTGGCTCCTAATTTGCTACAGCTATGTTCATTGGTGATTTGGAATTGCGAAAATACAAAGCGACTAAGTATCATTGGCTGAAAGTTATTTTGAATATTCAAAGTGTATATTTATAGAGAGAGAAAATTCAGCCTGATCATACAGTTGGAGGCGTTTGCGCCTCAAACCAATAAAGTATAAACCTGGTGTTTCGGGAGTATCTAAAAACACACACAAAGTAAATCTTTTGACAAAGGCTGGAGATCGTGCCTTCTCAGTTGCAGATCCCGCCCTGTGGAACGCGGTCCCCTTGACATCAGGAACAGTGACTCTCCCAACTTTTAAGAGAAACTCTAAAACATTTCTTTTCTCATCTAGTGATTGAACTGTAACGTGTAAAGCACCATTGAGCTGCTGCATATAGCTGGAAATAGGGGCTATACAAAGCAATTATTATTTATTTATTTTATGTGAAGGTGTGTGTTTTGTATGTGTGTATTTGTGTAGGCTCGTGCGTTTGTGTGCGTGCGTGTGTGCGAAGGTGTATGCGTATGTGTTTGTGTATATGTTTGGGCTTGTGTGTGTGTATGTGGGTGTGATATTATTATCAATGTTTTATACCACTGTGATATTTGTGTCACATAGGCCCTATGGCCGGATGCTGCTTTAAAACTCCTGTAATAATGTAATGTCTTATTTTAATGAAATGCAGCATGTGACACATTAATAAACTATATTTCGTCTATTTCTTCTTCTTCACTAACAAGCCGCAATCATTTTGTACGCGTTCCTATAATAGCACATACATCCTATACACTGCTGTGCGTCTAAAACCATCAAAATGGGGATTCTGTTGAATCGCACGTGCATATCATATTCAAGTATGGAACACAGTCGCCTGAGAGTCTTAGCGGTATATCCGTTAAAACACAAAAAGCGGATCAAAGCCTTTGGAATGTCGCATAATGGGGCTTCGAACAGCCATAATGCCAGAACGTTCAGATGTATAAGGCAGACCAATATCGACTAATGAGACACGTCAATCGGACTGGCCAGACACCTGACAGTCCCAGAAGTGGAAGGCCGAGAGTGACCATTAAGCAACATGACTATGACCTGCGCATTTTCCAACCTGCGTACAGGGCAATGGGGGTAGCCCAGTGGTTAAAGCGTTCGCTCGTCACGCTGATATGGGTATAATGTGTGAAGCTCATTTCTGGTGTCCCCCGCCGTAATATTTCCGAAATATTGCTAAAGTGGCGTAAAACTACATTCAGTCACTCGCTCATCCAACCTGCGTAATCATTGACGTCATCAGCAACAATACCGCATCAGCAGGATCACAGTGATGAGACGACTGCATGATGTGGGCATCCGGGCCTATCAACCATTTGGGGGGATATGATGAACACGCCAACATCGACCGAATCGTTGGGGAGGAACGTGAGTGAGTGAGTTAATATTTAGCGTCACATCGGCAATATTTCAGCCATATCGTGACGAGAACAATTTCATTTATATCAATATTAAAATCAATAAATCTAGAGCGTAAAAACCTCTCATCAAAGGACAGTAAAAGTACTAGAGTGCCACAGCTCTTAATTTAAAGCTAGCATGTAAAACTAAAACAGTTTAATCAAAGAAGACACTACAATATAAAACACGGGCTATAGATTGCCAACAAGTGAAGGTAGATCACCATACTAGGGACCATGGTGACTTACAGTGCCTTTGCTACCTACATGGACCCTAGATGGATTTACACCATCCCTTCAGCTGCTGGCGATTGTAGGCAAATTTAGACACAAATTAAAATGACAATAATACTACGTGTAAAAATGTGGAAGATTAAATTTCACTTCGATTGTTTTGGGACTTACGCATGGAGAGGAACGCGAGAGAAACGTTGCATTTATTTATACCCAATTAGTGACCATAATCCCAAAGTTGCAAGAGATATTGATGATGACCTCTTACCAAGACCTTGCACAAGACGAGCAAAGTACCTTTGTGTTTGTTCAAAGGTGTCAGCCTGTTGGACTTTGATGTTTGGTAATACTTCTCAGCCATAGAGACTAGTTTTAAGAATCATTCTGAGCCATATTTTAACACAAGTGATTGGATGTAGGCCAGAATCATTCAGTCCAATAGATCTAAATGAGTTTACATTCCGTGTTGCTTTCTGACAATACTTTTCACTTTCCATTGTCCAACACCTTGTTTGACCAAATACATTTCTGACCTCTCGCCGTGGTATGCAACAAATGATTGGCTATTTAGTCCAGTCAAAATGTCACAAAACCTCAAAATAATTCGTACAGAAATGATTTGAGTGTTTTCAACATGTTTAAGTTATAACTAATGAGTACTAGAAAGACCTCCATTGAAATATGATGAGTCCTATTTTTAGGGTAAAAAGTTGAAACATCTAAATTTTCAGTGAATAATTTTTAAAATCTCATATTGAGACACAGATTTACCTTTATAGATATATTTTAAAAGAGAACACAAGGTACTACTAATAAATGGATTAGAAAAGTCAAATAATATTATGTGAGGTCCTATTTTGGGGTAAAAGTTAAAAAAGTTGAAATTTTCAGAGAATTATTTTAAAATTTCATATTGAGACACAACCGTACTTTTTATGGATATTTTCAGAGAGAGCGAGAGACAGAGAGAGAGAGAGAGAGAGAGAGAGAGAGAGAGAGAGAGAGAGAGAGAGAGAGAGAGAGAGAGAGAGAGAGAGACAGAGAGAGTGAGAGAGAGAGTTAACCTAATATACGTGGCTTGTCGAAATGTGTACCGAGTCTACCGACATTGTACTTCTTTGTCTGACCGCTCACAAACACGTAAATTGAGCAAATACAACACAGTCTGGGATTTAGGTTCATCATAGGCACGAAGGTGACATAACTCAATACTGAGAATGATACAATCATTTTATATTCTACATGAATTGTTCAAGATATCAAGCAATTTGATTCACCATCTCTGTAACATATGAACCCATCCCTTTTAGCGCATCAACACCTCGGCATCCTTGGCAAACAGGCACGCAAAAACGTCATCGGTATGCGTTATTCCATGTTCTCAGATTGATCTACATTATCTGTTGCAAATTGAATGAACTGACCCTGTGTACACACATTTTCGGAAGCGTTGCACTTAGCTCCTACTTCTGTAACTGGAGACAATAATAACCGAACAAGATATTACATAACATATCAGCTGGCTTGAACTACAGTGATGGTGACCCTGAACACCAAGGGCTTTTCAATGGGGTGGCAGAGATACCCTTGGTCTCATAGTCCAAGCAAACCTTAACAGTAACATAAGATATTCTGAGTAAAGGAAATCCAATAATTTGAAGGGTTGTGTTCAAGGTAACTTGAATATTTGAGATGTGGTTGGGTGAGATGATTTGATTCAACGGTGCTTGCAATAGTTTTCGACTTACAGGTACTTCGAAAAGTACATGATTTCATGACAGTTACCCCCAACGACAGGTAATACCATGGGATAGTCATCCCTGTGTCAGTCAGAAATCGTTTTGTTTCCTGAGCAAAACTTTAAGACAGTTCATAAATAAGCATGCACCACTTACTATTAAAGTATTTGAAATACTGAAAGTATTTGTCCTTTAGGAATTTCAGTTTCAAAAATACAAATATTATCAATATTTTTACTGGCAGTAAAACGGACAATACTGGTTGTACTTTCAAAAGCTTATTAGAGCTATTAACAAGTAGCCTAACATCCGTGAAGATCCAGGTTAGAATTGGTCTTCAGTAACCCATGCTTGTCGTAGGAGGCGATTAACGGGATCGGGTGGTCAGGCTCGCTGCCTTGGTTGACACGTGTCATTGTATCCCAGTTGCGTAGATCGATGCTCATGCTTTTGATCACTGGATTGTCTGGTCCAGACTCGATTATTTACAGGCCGCCGCCATATAGCTGGAATATTGCAGAGTGTAGCGTAAAACTAAACTCACTCACTCACCCCATGTGTCGGCATGGGTTTGACTTAAAGCTGCACTGAGTAGCGGCCCTATGTGTTAATGGTCACGGAAGTACATAGTGCGCGCGCACGCGCACACACATAAAAACTTATAAAACTTAACTCACTCACTACAAGGAGCCTAATAACTTTTGTAAGAAAAAGATTGGTATTTTTCATTAAAAATACATGTTATATGTTCAGTTTATGTGATTCAATTTCAAGTTTGTCATGTAGATTCCAGTCCGTTTTTGTTACTGAGATTCCAAATGAGATAAAATATTTACCAGTTACAGTCATTTGATACATGTACATGTAGACGTTCTTATGTTCTTATCTCGGTGTGTCAAAGGGAAGTAACTCTATACTACTGTGGTGGTGTACATAATGGTTCGTTTCAGTAGTCCGTACGTTTCACTATCCGAACGTTTTTGATGAAAAACGGAAGTGTTTGGATTAACGTGGCCTGACTGTATACTATAAATATTTGCTAGGGTTCACTCAATTCTGCTCACATGATAATATGTAATTGCCAGCAAAAGTTAAAAGAGAACAGACTTATCCTTCAATCACGTTTTGAAATTGTTTTAAAATTAATAGCACAGAAAATATGAATGGTATTATATGTTCCTAATCTATCATTCTGGATTATGTTTATTCAAGTTCTTTTAAATCTTGATACAGAATTTCCCATTTATCACCAAGGTGCGTAGTTTTACACGACCGCAGTGCATATAGTTCTGTGGGCTAATTATGGGAGCAGAATCACCTCAGTCCTCCTCCTCATCTCTTTTAACTGTAGCTTTTAGCTATCTTTTTTATCCTTTATCTATTAGGCTAACAATAGCCTCATCTAGTTAGAGTTTTATAACTCATTCCTTTCCATTCTGCTATTACAATTTATTTTTTAAACAATGGGAGATAACTCTCATTTACTCGTTTCAAGTGCGCTGGAGTGTCCAAAATCCAGTTCAAACCTCATATCATAACTTTTTATCAATTTTAATTTTATTATTTACTATTTTTTACACTTCAGTTGTATATTTTGCAAGATTTTATACCTTTTCTGACTTATTTTCAGATAGAAAAAGTAATTGAAAAATATCATTTTTCATAATATTTGCCCCCAAAACCCCACTTAGTATCAACATCCAAGGGAGGACTTTTTATATATTGTTTACATAACTATTGTTAACGATTTAAACACAAAACCATTTTTGGTACCAATTTTTTTTTAGGTTTAGTGATTTTTTCCACTAATTTTACTGGACTAATTGGTATAACAGTGATGTAAGAGTTTCCAAGCATTACCTCCAATACCAAGTTCATGAAGTTTATAGAATAAACCATCGTGCCAAATTCTGTTGAACGCTTTTTGCGTTGTCGAGAAAGGCTGTAAAGACAGGGGAATCTCTATGGTTATAGTACTGTATACTCTCCATGAGAGTAAACACAGACATTATGGCTCCATGCTCTTTTCGAAATCCAAATTGTAACTTATCAGGAAAGTCCGGATTTGATTTAAGCAATTTATTTCCAATTCGCTTGAGCAAGAGCTTTTCAAATAGTTTACCGAGGCAAGATGTTAGTGTGATACTCATAGTGTGATATGGGACAACGGACGTGCTGATGTGGTGTGAACCAACAAAGGGGGGTATATGATGTGGGGCAACGCAGGTGCTGATCCGGTATGAAGCAACACAGGTGGAAATCCAATGTATGGCAACTAACCTGCAGATGATTGAAGCAACACAGGTGGAAATCCAATGTATGGCAACTCACCTGCAGATGTTTGAAGCAACACAGGTGGGAATCCAATGTATGGCAACTCACCTGCAGATGTTTGAGGCAACACAGGTGGAAATCCAATGTATGGCAACTCACCTGCAGATGTTTGAAGCAACACAGGTGGGAATCCAATGTATGGCAACTCACCTGCAGATGTTTGAGGCAACACAGGTGGGAATCCAATGTATTGCAACTCACCTACAGATGATTGAAGCAACACAGGTGGAAATCCAATGTATGGCAACTCACCTACAGATGATTGAAGCAACACAGGTGGAAATCCAATGTATGGCAACTCACCTGCAGATGTTTGAGGCAACACAGGTGGGAATCCAATGTATTGCAACTCACCTACAGATGATTGAAGCAAACACAGGTGGAAATCCAATGTATGGCAACTCACCTGCAGATTTTGAGGCAACACAGGTGGGAATCCAATGTATGGCAACTCACCTGCAGATGTTTGAGGCAACACAGGTGGGAATCCAATGTATGGCAACTCACCTGCAGATGATTGAAGCAACACAGGTGGGAATCCAATGTATGGCAACTAACGTGCAGATGTTTGAAGCAACACAGGTGGGAATCCAATGTATTGCAACTCACCTACAGATGTTTGAAGCAACACAGGTGGGAATCCAATGTATGGCAACTCACCTGCAGATGTTTGAAGCAACACAGGTGAGAATGTGATATGGGGCAACGCACGTGCTCAGGTGGTGTGTGAAAATGCAGGTGAGAATGTGATATGGGGCAACGCACGTCCTGTTAACGCTGTTGGAAATACAGACAATGGCTTCTCTCAGAGTGCTGTAGCCGTTGAGGACGATGAGTGGTTTGTTGAACAGGTACACACTGAAGATGTCGCCATATCGTTGCCTGAGTCTTCGAAATGTGATCCGGGGATCGGAGCCCATGGAGAGGACATTCCCCAAAAACGGGAGGAGAGGGGGTCCGGGAGGGAGCCCAGGTGGTCGCCGCGTTAACAGCCATAACTTTAGACTGAAGGCGAATATATCCACCATTGTCTGCTACTGTCCACTTCTCGACCCACGATGTGTTTATAAGTGTACACTATAATACACTGCCTGATGCAACTACATGCAGTAATTCAGTCGGTGGATTGAATCAGCCCAAGAACGTGACTTGGAGTGAACGCGACACTGCAGTTTTGCTAAGGGCAGTATGTGGGTCACCTCCGATAAAGTTGACAAGCAGCTATCAAAGGCAGGTGTCCCATATATTGCGCTATCCAAGCTTGTTTTTCCCTTTCGTATTGGTAGAGGTATATGTATTTAGATAAACCTGCAAACTGCTTTAGGGACTAAGCAGGCTCACTCGTTACAGTCAGCTTTGAAAATGAGGTCATTCATTTCCGCTATGGTCGAATTTAATCGTTTTCAGAATCGTCTTTCTGGGATCTCTGGGTGAACGAATACAAAACACCTTGTGAGTGTGTTTAGACAATTGTTGATGTAATGTGATATTGTGTCAACCCGATCGAAGTTTTCCTGTTCAGTTTACGTCTACTAATATATGTTTGTGTGCTGCTATAGCCATCCAAACCCACCCCAATGAAAACGTCGTTTGAGAGTTGTTCCAGCATTCCGGCCCTTTGACGAATTTCCGTGTGGTAAGTACGCCAACTGAACGTGTCACTGTGGGTGTTAAGAGTTTACGGTGTATATGCATTATGCAACTGCATGCTGAGTGACACAGCAGATTGAACTTGATAAAGTACTGTAAAGCACCTTGGGCATCCATCTGAAATTGCTTCGGCAATGGGAGCCGGGCCAATTTACACTTGTCAGAGTGGTAAACAAAGTACGTAATCTTGACTAGCAGTTGTCAGGCTGCCAATTTTGCGCTGGCTGAGTGGGTTATATCGCTGATTAAGTGCCTTACTATGAGGTCGTGAGTTCGAATCCCGGATGGATCTAACGCCCGAAATGTACTAGACTTTGTACTTTACTGAGAAAATGTAATCCCAAACATGATATATGTTGCATCACTCTTCTGCCAAACGTGATTCAGCATTTTAATGCGTCCTTTACATTCTCAAAAGCAGGTGCCCAAACTATTACCGAACATTGGTTGTTTGTCCGTGTTACAATTGGTGTAATTTATCATTTACGTTTGCTTGTAAATAGAACTTTCAACATTCTAGTGAGTTTGTGAATCGTATAAAACAGACTTGCTCTATACTCACTGTTTACGACTGGATCCTAGTGATTTTGCAGTAAACGATCCACTTACTTCATACAAATTATGAGCCTCATGAACTGTCTAAGGAAAACATGTTTCCAACAGTACAGTATTTTTATTGAATCACAAAAGACACAGTAAAATCGAAATGATATACATAAGAAACATGGTGTCGTCGTCAGCACAATCACTGTATCCCCAATCACCATTGCAGAGATGTTAACACAAACAATAATGGATTTCGAGATCATGCAAGAGTAATTAGCAGCGGCCATAAATATTGTTTTCACATTGTTAACTGCTGAGGCAGCTATGCCCAATATCAGATTCGATCTTGTGGAAAGAGAAGTATCATCAGTGGTGGAAATAAGTGTGTCAACTTCCAGTTTCATTGGTCATCTGGTTTCTTTACGACGATTTATACAACGGACGGCGGACATAAAGGCCTGAGCGTGAAGTCGTTGGGCTTTCAGTGACATGGCTTGACAAAAACTTTCTTTCTCTCTGGATTACAGTATGTGTTGGGATCATGTATTGTTAAAAAACAGACAATACCTAGCTGGATAGTTGCTCAATGCAGCCTTAACACTACCCACTCACTCGCATAGAGTGATTAAACTCTGGGAATGGCTTTCATGACGAATGGTCTTGGAGAATGGGTTATGCCCACGGTTCCATCCAAAGAAGGCATCTGGCCATCCACCGGAATGAACTTGAACCTCTGGATCATGGTGGTCAAGAAAAGGAACAACTCCATCCGAGCCATGGCCTCACTTCCAGACAAACCCTTCGACCTGAAATATTTCAAATCTTCGGTTGTAAATAGCCTACATGCATTTTGTCAGGAAATACAAGCCTTACGCGTATTAACATGTTTAGTAGTAATTGAGTGAGTTTTTGTTTTATGCCGCACACAGCAATATTCCAGCTATATGGCGGCGGTCTGTAAATAATCGAGTCTGACCAGACAATCCAGTGAGCAACAGCATGAACATCGATCTACGCAATTGTGATACGATGAGATGTGTCCACTAAGTCAGCGAGCTTGACCACCCTATCTCGTTAGTTGCCTTTTACGACAAGCATGGGTTACTGAAGATCAATTCTAACCCGACCTTCACCGGACCAGAGTCCAATATCTTTAGTAAATATAATCTTGGTGTAGTTCCTTTTACTCGAGAGTGCATGTTTATTTGTAAAGACAGCTAAAATAATGTACAATTCATTGAAACAAGAATGACATTTGGTCTTATTTGTATGTATTCAACATTGATTAGAGTTCTAAATAGATATATTTGGATTCACACATTTTCAGACTAACGAATTACTGATATGTCATATATTTGGAAGTTTCCTTACTCGACAGGTTGAACGGTCAAATTTAAAATACAGCCATTTGTAATCGTTTGTAAAAACACTTCAATGTTGAATTCGTTTATAAAGATTGGACATATATTGCTGCTTCTCCAGCGACTTAACTTACCCAGAGAGAAGGGAATGAACTCATCTTTCTTTACGATCTTGCCAGTGTCGTCAAGGAAACGGTCAGGTCGGAAGTTGTCTGGATCACCCCACACATCCGGGTCTTGTAGGACTGAATCAAGCATCGCTATGACTTGGACACCTTTTGGGAACGTGTAGCCCCTGAACTGGATATCGTGGGGAACGGTGTGAGGGAGAGCTGTAGGGGCGATATCAGCTCGCCTCAAGACTTCCATAATGGTTGCTTCCATGTAGGGCAGGTTGATCTTGTCCTTCATTGAGGGACGCCTACTCTGGCCGATATTTTCCTGGATCTCTCGGAAGCACCTTCCTGGACGTCCGGGTTGTAGAGTAAGTAGATCATGGTCCATCGTATGGTAGTAGCCGTGGTTTCCGTTCCGGCCACGAAGAGGTCCGTTATAACCCGTTTCAGGTTCTCCGCTGAAACAAGGTCCGAGGGAAGCCTTTTTGTTGAAATAAAATTATTCGAAAACACTGTGTAAATTAAACTGCAATGAAACTAAACTTAACAAAGTTGACATATGAACTGTAATTAGGAAAGAGAAGGCCCTAATGCAAGATTATGGATTCACAGTGCAATCAGTGTTCAAATGCACAATTAAGTGCATGTGCATACGAAAGTAAGGTCACTGAGACGGTTTCTTTTCTCTCTATCCGGACAGATATATACCCTCAGAGTTTGCTACTGTGTCAATTCCATCTTATTGAAAAAAACGAAGGCTGATGCAGTAAATGAGTGAGTTCAAATTTAAAGTCACATCGGCAGTATTTCAGCCATATCGAAGGTTGAATCAAATAGGGTTTGTTAATCTATGTGAAGTGATGTTCTCCTTTCTTGTACATGGATCCGGTGATTAACGCAGGGATCGCGACTTTGGTGGGGTTGGTGAAATGCGTCATTTTCGCCTTTCTTCCTCTATTTGCAGACACGCAGTGGTATTATTGAACTCATATCACCACGCAGTTCTCAAAGATATCATCCTTAACACACGAACTGCATATATTCTGTTTCTCACCCAAAGCGCGAAACAAAAGGCGAAAGGGAGTTATCAAATCGGTTCTGTACAACTACTTAACTTGGTTCAGTATGCTTACAGTCTAAGGTCGTGTCCTCTTGTTTCGCTTGGCGAAGTCTCATTTCCTTGATGTAAGCGTGGATGAAGTCGTCCACGTTGTCATCGTCGTGATTCTTCAAGTGTTCCTCTGTCATAGGGTCTATGAGCAGTGAGTCGATTTTCTCGACATTCTGCATTGACTTCTTAAATTTGAATAGATCTCCTGGCAGAAAGCGCACAATAGGCAGCACATTCAACATTCCAGCCGCACCAGCATTGGCAAAATTTTCGTCCATGGCTTTTAAAAATGTAATAAAGAGCGGGTCAGTATATTCAAATCGTTTGCCGAATACAGTGGAGCAGATGACATTGGATACTGCGTTGCACACCAGGCGTTTGCAGTCAAAGCCCTGCCCTCGTTCTGCCTCGAAGGCCTCAATAAACTGTGAGATTTCCTCGTGGATTTTGTCCTCCATGATATTCCTGCCTGCTCCAAACTCCCTGAGAGTGTTGAGGGCGAAGCGTCTTTGCTCGCGCCAGAGATCACCAGATGTTCCAACAACACCTGTACAAAAATGATAAAAATGACTCAGGTATTAAAAAACACGTTACAAAAGGAAAACATGACCGAAACACAAATCCTCAAAGGCTGGCCACTACAGAAGAGAGAGTCTTGATTTCAGTGTTGGTTAATATCGTAATCAAGTGTAAATTCTTATTTCCCATTCTTTTACTCTTCCTTGGAAAGTATGGTAAAGTGGTTTCGTATGGTATGAGTCCTGTAGTATGTTTGAATAAATGGTGCCTACTTTTTTATATTGATCAGTATAGTAGGTGGAGTTTGACGTGACTTGAAGTAAGAGAAATACAGTAATAACTGGTAGGCTGGTTTAGAAACTAAAATGATTTACAAAATAACGTATACACCTGATGTTTATTATTGGATAATGTAAAAAAAGGATTTTCAGCAGCGGATCAAGAACGCGCCTTTGCATTGTCGCATGTTGGGGCTTCGAACAGCCATAATTCCAGAACGTTCAGAAGTTCAAGGCAGACCAACATCAGACTAATGAGACCCGTCAACCAGACTGGCCAGACATCTGATAGTCCCAGAAGTGGGAGACCGAGAGTGACCACCCCCAAGATGACCATCACCTGTGCATTTTGCAGCCTGCGTAAGGGCCGGTGGGGTGCCCCAGTGGTTAAAGTGTTCGCTCGTGAAGCCCATTTCTGGTGTCCCCCGCCGTCATATTGCTGGAATA